TCCTTTATAGCGCTGTGCGACGGGGGCCCACCAACCATGTAGGGTTGGGCGCCCCCGATCAGGGCGCGAGAACAAGGCCCAAAGGCCGTTGGGCCTAATGGCGTGGGAGATCAATCCAACATAGTTGACTAAGGAAGTGATAGCGATCTTGAAGGGAGGAGGGATCCCAGAGGCCAGGGTTGGAATGACACCATCATAGCCTTGATCCCGAATGTAGAAAAGCCTGAGAGGGTTACTGATTTAAGGCCGATTAGCCTGTGCAATGTTGTTTATAAAGTGGTGTCTAAAGTTCTATCCAATAGATCAAGGGAGGTGTTGCCTGATATCATCACTCCAAATTAGAGCGCTTTCGTGCCGGGGAGATGATTTTAGACAATATTCTCATTGCTTATGAACTCACTCATTTCTTGTTGAATAAAAGAGAAGGTGACTTGGGCTATGTGGATCTAAAGGTCGATATGAGCAAGGCGTATGATCGCCTGGAATGGTGTTTCTTGAGAGATATTATGAGGAGATTGGGCTTTGATAAGCAGTGGATTGAGTTCATCATGGAATGTGTCACGACAGTTAAGTACCAGATAATGGTAAATGTGGAGCTGTCAGGGAGGTTTACTCCACAGAGGGTTCTAAGGTAGGGGGATCCATTGTCCCTTTACCTCTTTATTCTATGTGCTGAAGCCTTCCCAGCGCTTTTGAAGAAAGGAGAAAGAGATGGATTGTTAGCCGGTGTGAGGATTTGTCAGAACGCACCAAGCATATCACACCTTCTGTTCACTGATGACTCTCTCATTTTGATTCGTGCGACAGAAGGGGATAGTAGGCAGCTTCAGGTCATCCTTCAATTGTTTGAAGATTGTTCCGAACAAGTGATAAATAAAGCCAAATCAGCTGTTCTTTTTAGCCGAAAGACAAAACGTCAGGCCAAGAAGATTGTATGTGATTTGCTTCATCTCTACTATAAGGGATCAATCAAAATTACACTTGGTCCACCTAGGAATTTGTCCCCCACAGAGATGGTTTTTGCTATATCTACCCCACTTCGTGCGACCAGAAAATCCCGTCTTTTAGAAATAAATGGCTGAGATCTATTCTCATGAAACTTCGCTACGATCGGATGGCCTGAGTTGTTTTTGGTGGTGAAGCCAAGCTTCATCGCACCCCCACGCCACTACCCCACGCCTGTAATCAGCGCGACGTGTGATGGCCTGAGCCGCGGCTACCTCACCCACGATCAGTGCCGAGCGATAAAGGAAGGAGCTCATGAGAAAGGAAGGAATTGCTGCCGTGGACCATGGTAAAGGATAAAGGATGGTGACCGAGCTAGCGCATTCTCATTCAGTCCTGTCTCCCATATCTCAGGCTGAACCCTGGCCATCCTCCTCCTCCTCCTGGCCCTGCCTTCGCTACCGCATCGGCTGTGCTTGCGGACGGCGGTGGACGCGGCGAGCAGGACGCGAAGGACTGGGGTCGAGAAACGTCGTTGGCGGACGCGGCGAGCAGGGCGCGGGCTGGCGTGGCACTCGGCGAGACTCGCGAAACGACGGTGGCGGACGCGGCGAGCGTGGACCGGGGCAGCGACCAAGCGGCTCCCATCGGATTCTTCTGTGTGCATGCGGTACAGCCATAGGAGCGGGCGACGCCAAGCACGGCCATCGGGCATCAGGCAACTCTGCAGCAGCCCTGCAGGTACACGTACATCTGAATCCTGATACGAAGACTCAACAACAGCCAAAGCCAATTAGCCTTCTGCTAGCTGCCCTACTCTCCTTTAGTCACGTACTCACGTTTCTCCTTGTCCTTTCATTCTCCAATTTCTTCCCTAGGGATTAATGACAAAAGGAGCCAGGATTGGTGATCGGCGATCTGCAATTGGCACGGAACAGCAAAAGTGCATAACACACATGGTATGCAAAACTGATTTATTACATTATAGACTTCTACAGCTTTAGATTATTAGAAGATTTTTTTATGTGGCACTGAATTTTTTAATGTGTCACTGAATAATTCATATAATGATGTACCGACATGCCAAGCACACGGGCGAGCATGCGGCTTGTTGTGCTGGCGGCTAACACGGCCATCACACGAGTGAGCACACGTGCTTTTTGATTTCGTGCAGCTTGACATGCCCACGTCACAGCAATGGCAACGAGCACTACCAACAGCAGCAGAGGAAGAAGAAGGCTGGCAGCTCTCTTGGTTTTGGTTTGATTATTGTTCTTGCAGTGTGCTTGTGATGTCGACTGTAATGATTTCAAGAATTGTTTAGGAATTGCATTTATTTCTCTTAACAGTTTATTTTCAACCCATGTCCTGACGTCCTGCAAATGCCAAATTGCAGGTTTCTTCTTGCTGACACAACCTGGACTTTTCATCTGATTATGATAAAGACGAACTGATAAGCTGGCATTCATAGCTCATTTTGTTGGGAGATAACATACAGAGGCTTCGGCTCGGTTGGCAGAATCCCTCAGCCACCATCATTTTGGATCCGATAACTTGGTAAGTGGTGAGAGATGCCCTTTTGCGATTTTCTAAACCAATGTTGGTTTTACCTTCTATTTATCATCAGAGATGATCCTTATCTTGTTGATAAAAATTAAATTGTCTGTAAAGAAAGGGCAAGTAATGCTTTCTTTACGTGCATTCTTGTGATGTGGTTCGAGGGCTTCACTTCTGTGTTGTTTCATTCACTTTAGAGTAGATGTTTCCCCCAGCAAAACTAATTTTTTGGGATATTGATTACTTGTTTAACCCCAGCGACCTCAAGCCATTCTCGGATGGCACCTAGATAATGCTTGAAAATTTTTGTTTGAGTAACTACAGCATGCATATTTATTAAAGAAAAATTGGATTGTGGCATCTGTTATGTTTATTTTTTTTGGCACTGATACTGCACATTTGTGAATCCCACTAGACAAATAGTTTGGCAGGGTTTTCTTCTGTTAATGGCATGGGATTCATAGTTTTTATTATAGTTACAGGCAGTTGTCATTGGTGATTGTCATTGATGTTAGCAGTTAGGGATCTCTCTGTGGTTTTCTTATTTGAGTTCTCCAGTACTATTCCCTATTCTACTATATGATCATTGCTAGACAGGCTGGAGGAACAAAAGGACTTATACTAGAAGCAACACGCATTGGAGAGGAGGAATAGGAACCAAATATGATCATTGCTACATTGATGTAGGCCCGCTGGAATGTTTTTAAGAATTTTGTTCTGGAAGTATATGGTTCATATGAGTTGTTTATCACCTTTCTCTAAATAAATATAAGATTGTTGTAATGGGCTCGCATTGTACAATATTTAACCACTAATGTATTCTTTTCTATTTTATTGGAAAGGTTTGTTATTTAAAAATGAAAACATTGCTAGCTTAGTATTTCTTACTTTAGGAATATAGGTGTTACGTCCCCATCCATTTTTATGTGCCAAAGAAAGGAAATGCGTCATTTTTCTTTACAACGTATGTGAGTTGTACACTTGTACTCAAAGCTTGGATGTGATTGCTGATTAGAAGGAAGGAATGAGTATATCCTTGTATCTCTTCTCTCTGGTACAAATTTCAATAACGTGGCAAAGAATTCCGTAACAGCGTTATACATTATGTTATTTGGTTTAAATTTTATATGCGGGGTCTTTTTCTCGTGTTAATCTTAGGCTTCTGACTTTTGACATTATTATTTTCCTCTTCCTTTAAAAAATTTATCTGTTGGTTTTCCCGTAGCGCTAGCAAGGGCATACCTGAATCATATATGATGCAACGCTTCTCTGAATCATATGTCATGCCATCTGTTAATTCCATCTGATAATTCAAGGTTATACTACATCTGAATCATATGTCATGCCCATTCACTCAAAAAATAAATGAAGAAAATTCCATCTGCGCTCGAAGCCCCAGATGACACTTAATTATTACCAACAAATACCAGGTACGCCTTTAATTAAGACATGCCGTATTGGGTGTTCAATATATTTGTTCATGTGTTTTGTGTAACAATCAATTTGCAGGTAATAATTACTCCAGCATGGACTAAAACACCCCAATTATATTGGACAAAGAAAATATCCCACCGGATGCACACGGGGATCATAGCCATGTTGGCATTGCCGAAACGACCATAAGAGACAGTGCACTATCTGTTGTCACTGGCAAAGATGACCCAGGTATACTTCGAGCTTATTGTGAATTAGTATCATTCTTTTATTCTACTAATAAAACCTTTTTTATAAATGACAAAAAATATATGCTTCAGCCCCACAAACGACACCAGCTAACATTGCTAATGCTAAGAGGGAAGAAAGGAACAGGCAACAACGGAAGCGAAGAGCTGAGATGACCAATGAACAAAGGGAAGAGAGTAATAGGAAACAACGTGAGTACCGAGCACAGAGGAAGGCTGCATCGCAAAATATTAGCACTGCCTCTATTGTGTCTCAAGTATTGCCGACGTCCTCACCCGTAGGTGCATATAATATCTTGGACATATGCATTTCCTCCACCTTCTGATATTTCCTCCACCTTCTAATTTACCTACCTTCATATGTGAAGGTGCGACATTTGGAACTGCATTCTCAACAGTAGTGCAAACACCAACCATAGAATATAAGCAAAAAGATGAGTCAGGTGATCCCACAGAGTGGCTACACAGAAATGATAATTACGTGCCAGGACGTAGAGGCCCACGTACGGTTCTTTCTGGACCATCTATAAGAACAAATGGAACATTAAGCATGGCATGCGAAGAAGAAACACCATTCCCTATTACCGGTGAGTCAGGTGAGGACATCAACCACATGTTGTTTTTTTTAAAAAAAAAATTAAGCCATTTGGATATATTGGAGATATATATGCTACTGTACTTATATTATATATATATGCAGAGCTTCATTTGAATGATCTGCGTCGCAACCATGTAGATGCTGAAACAAATGAAGATGAATTCGACCATGAACTATTCAAACCTGTACAAAATGGTGAAAACGGTGACGAAGCTGCCATGGACGGCAGCCATGGATTGCACAACGAAAACTTATACGATGATGATGGAATCATTCAGCGACATGCGCAAGGTACTACGACGGCATCTATATGGCATCCAACTTCATTATATACGTCTTTACATAAACCATATATATAGTAAAGTAACATGATTGTTATAATGTTTCCCACACAGGTGATGATTATGAGTCATATCGCGTGCTTGCGGATGGTGCGGCTGGCCATAGTGTGATAGATGATCCATATGAATTCATCTACCAGAACCTGCCACAAAGACATACATTGAGAAATGTCCCTGACTGCCATTACTGTGGTGCGATGAGGTTTCAGTATGAGCCACCCGGGTTTTGTTGTAGAAAAGGAAAAGTACAAATACATATACCAGAGGTTCCGGTAGAGCTGAAAAGGTTATTCACAAGTCAAGTGCATGATGATGCAAAATATTTCAGGCAACATATATGATATCTCAACTCACATTTCACATTCGCAAGCCTAGGGGTTACCCTTGACCACAGATATAACACTCCAGTAGGGACCGGTATTTATACATTTCGACCTCATGGCGGGTTGTACCATCGTCTAGACCACCTGGTGCCAGGTGCCCACGGCCCTCGGCATCTGCAGTTCTACTTTTATGATACAGAAGATGAGGCCTTGTCACATAGAGTCAAAAGGTCCCCTGATCTTGATATCAACCTCATCCAAAATATCCTTACAATTTTGTAGGATAACCCATATGTTCATACTTTTAGGAGAAATGGTACTTTCCCAAATTTGGATGACTACCGGATTGAACTCAATACAAATGTCACGCCTGACCAGAGATGGTACAATGCCCCAACGGCAGCCCAAGTTGCTGCTATCTGGATGGAGGGGAACGATCCACAGAGATGTTTTGATAGGAGTGTGGTTGTATATGGAAGGACGGATTGTCGTCCGCAATATATCCGAGCATACCATGGTTGTTATGACCCATTAGCTTATCCTCTATACAACCCACGAGGGGAAACAGGATGGAACAAGTTTATGCCGTACAGTGCTGATCCAGTCACTCAACCATCTGTAACCCCGGCTTCTACTAATGTTAATTACAGGGATGAGGGCACTACTGGTGCTTATCAAGGTATTATTTCTACTATAATACTCCTATGGAATAATTATATTGTAGAATAATTTCTGCTATAATATTCCTACTATGGTGTAAGTATATATTAAAATAGAGATCTGACATTTTTTATATATGTTGTAGTTGATAATTATAACGAAAATCATGCAGAAGAAGGCGACAATGACGTACAAGAAGGTGACTGGCTAAGTAGAGTTGCTGGTGCAGCACAATCTTCAAGATATGTGACTGCACGAGAATACTATTGCTTCAAGATGCAAGTTAGACAGGGACTTTTTAACATTTTATTATTTGGTGGACGTCTTTTCCAGCAATGGGCTGTAGATATGTATATAAAGATCGAGTCCATGAGGCTAGATTGGTACTCTAATCCCGAGAACCAAAAGCTTATATGGGCAGAGCTATACCAGGTAACCACTCAAATTATTTTGTTTATTTGTTTATGAACTTTGCAACCTTATTACTATCTTTTTCTAATGTTGTACGTACTTAATTGTATTTTAGGTACTGGTTCATGTTATCTCTACTGGAGAGACACAGGGTTCTAAGGTTGGTAAGAGAATTGTGCTACCAAGATCATTCCCACGATGCGATCGAGACATGCAGCAAAGGTTCCTTAATGCTATGGCTATTGTGCAACGTTTTGGAAGGCCTGATTACTTCATTACCATGACATGCAATCCCTACTGGGAAGAGATAACAAGCAATCTTGAACCTGGGCAGGAACCACAAGATAGGCCAGAACTAGCTGCAAGAGTGTACAGGGCAAAGTTGAGAGATCTAAAAGATCTTCTGATCAAGAGAAAGTATTTTGGTGATGTTGCGGCATACGTTCATGTTACCGAGTTTCAAAAAAGGGGGCTACCACATGAGCATTTCCTGCTGATCATGAAGTCAGGGAGTAAGTTGACAACCCCAGATGCATATGATCGAGTAATTTCAGCAGAGATACTAGACAAGGATAGATACCTAGAGTTGCATGATCTGGTTATCAGTCATATGTTGCATGGACCATGTGGCGTGCTAAACAAAAACTACGCATGCATGGTGGATGGAGAGTGCCGCTTTCACTATCCTCGACAGTTCTGTGAGGCAACCCAACAAGGAAATGACTCATATCCAACATACAGGAGAAGGGATGATGGACGTCGAGTAAAGATTAGGAGAGCAGAGTTAGATAACAGGTGGGTGGTGCCCTAGAACCCTGGTCTGCTCATGAGATACAACTATCACATTAATGTTGAAGCATGATTGAGCATTAAAGCAGTGAAGTATTATTTAAGTACGTATATAAAGGCCATGACCAAGCATCATTCTCGGTAAATGAAGATCAACATGATAGAGATGATGGTGTCATCAATGAGATACGACAGTACAGGAATGCTAGATACATATCTCCACCGGAAGCGGTGCATAGGATATTCGGTTTCCCAATGTTTGGAGTCTATCCTGCTGTATTGCAGCTCCAACTACATTTGCCTGATATGCAATCTATGACATATAATGAGGAGGAAAACCTTGAGGATGTTGTCAATCGCCCAGGTTCTAATAGGACCACACTTATCGAGTATTTTAGTAAAAACCACGAAGATAGGACAACAAGGAAAATATTATATAGAGAATTCCTAGAACACTACCGTTGGATCAAAGGGAAAAAAGTGTGGCAAATAAGGAAACAAACGTCAGGACAGATAGGACGGATTGTCTATGCAAACCCTGCTGAAGGGGAGAGATACTTCCTAAGAGTTCTACTGAATCATGTGAGAGGTGCAACATCATATGAGGATTTGAGAACAGTGGCTGGTGTCACCTACTCTACTTTCAGAGAAGCATGTGAGAAAAGAGGGCTTATCGAGATGGACAAATCAATCGACGACTGCTTGACTGACGCCACCACTTTTCAGATGTCATGTGCCTTGCGAAGGTTGTTTGCTACCATTCTTGTCTTTTGTGAGGCCTCTAACATACTTGGACTATGGGACAAGCATAAGGACGCTCTCGGTGAAGACTTCAGATGGGACAACAGCAACACTTTTGCAGTGGGCAAATGGTGCTCAGAGACATACGGGAAATGGTTCACTCAATGGGGAAGGATATTAGAGATTATGGTTTGCCACCTATTTGCGATGAGGGTCAAAGCTCCAATGACATGACGAAAGAGGTTAGAGAGGAACAGAACGTCTCTATAGACCAAGAACAGTTAGATATTTATGAATCTCTTAACAAGGAACTATGTGAAGGGTTTGATGAAATCCTTCAGCATGTCCGTGCTAATAAGAGCCAAGTTTTTTTCGTAGATGGTCCTGGAGGCACGGGAAAGATGTTCCTATATAAGGCCCTCCTTGCTAAAGTTTGGTCCAAAAGATTAATAGCCATTGCAACAGCCACATCTGGTATAGCAGCATCGATATTGCCTGGGGGACGCACAGCGCACTCAAGGTTTAAAATGGTTTAAAATTCCAATTAAAATTGGGGACAACAGCATGTGCAGCTTTACAAAGCAAAGTGGCACTGCAGAGTTGCTTCGTAGGGCATCTTTAATTATTTGGGATGAAGTTGCCATGACCAAGCGTCAGTGCGTTGAGACACTTGATAGGTCCCTATAGGATATTATGGAATGTGGTTTGCCACTTTGAGAGGAAAGGTCATGGTATTTGGTGGAGACTTTAGACAGGTCCTTCCTGTGGTCACACATGGGACAAGGGCATAGGTAACTGATGCAACATTGCAAAGATCCTATTTGTGGGAGAAAATAAGGAAGATAAGATTGTCACGTAACATGAGGGCGCAGTCTGACCCTTGGTTTTCAAATTACCTACTATGAATTGGAAATGGAACAGAGGAAACAATTGGAGATGATTATATTCGACTCCCTGATGACATTGCGATTGGTTTTACTGACATGGAGGTGGCTATCAACAAAGTCATTCAACATGTTTTCTCGTCACTTGTAGAACACGCAACGTCAACCGCCTATATGAGCTCCCGTGCCATTCTATCGACAAAAAATGAACATGTTGATAGACTAAACGCAATGATGATTGAGAGGTTTCCAGGTGAGGAAAAGGTTTACCACAGCTTTGACACTATTGTTGACGATCCTCAGAATCACTTCTCTATTGATTTTTTGAACTCAATAACTCCAAATGGCCTCCCCCGCACGAGCTGAAGCTAAAAATTAATTGTCCTACGATTCTTCTCTGCAACCTAGATCCTAACAACGGATTGTGCAATGGAACAAGGCTTATGGTCAGAGCATTGCAAGACATTACAATTGATGCCGAGATTGTTGGTGGACAGCATGCGTAGAAAAGGGTTTTCATACCAAGGCTCCCATTGTCTCTCTCGGATGATATTTCTCTTCCTTTCAAGTTCAAGAGAAAACAATTCCCAGTACGGTTAAGTTTTGCCATGACGATAAATAAATCGCAGGGACAAACCATCCCTAATGTTGGGATCTACCTTCCAGAACCCGTGTTCTCACATGGACAGCTCTATGTTGGTTTATCAAGGGGAGTGTCAAGATCAACAACAAGAATCTTGGCTAAACAAAAAGAGGAATTGGATCCTACATGGAAGAGCACCAAGAATATTGTTTATAAAGACATCCTAAACTGGTGATTAATGGTGGGTATACTCAAACCATTTTATCAGTCCTCATATAAATATATATTGCTGGGCAGGTGCTTGATTTTTTTATATATTTTTGGGCATGTTGGTAATCCATTTTACTCACTTGATGCCTGAAATGCCAAAGTTGAGCGAGCGCACTTCAATTTCTAAGTCATGTTTAAGGACTTAGACAGAATGTAACTTAGATGGTTAATGCGACAAATAACTTTATTATGCCTTATGAAAAGTGTTTCCCAGATTGTATACATGCTCAAATACAATTGTGTAAAAATTGAACTATGGAAAAAATCATTGTTTGGTTGTTTTCATGTACATCCCCAAAATAAAGCCGTGGCGTTAGCACGGGCATTATACTAGTGTAACAAGGGACACCATGAATGAGAAATACTTGGGATTACTAGTCCATGTGGGCAGATCCAAAATAGGAGCATTTGCATGTTTGAAGGACTGGATTTGGAAACATATGCAAGGTTGGAATGAGAAGTTTCTTTCATGGGCAGGAAAGGAGATCCTCATCAAAGTGGTTGCGCAACAGGTGATACTAGCCTTTGCAATGGGTTGTTTTGATCTTTCCAAATCACTATGCGACCATATCAGTGAAATGATCTGCCGATTCTGGTGGAACCATCAAGAAGGAAAGCACAAAATTCATTGTCAAGGTAAGGAGCAGATGATGAAATTGAAAGAGGATGGAGGTCTCAGTTTCAAGGACATACATGCTTTCAACATGGCGATGTTGGCAAAGCAAGGGTGGCAGTTACGGCAGAGTCCAAACTCCCTATGCGCACATGTGTTGAAAGATAAATACTTTTCTTCTTCATCAATTCTGGAGGCAAAACCAAAATTTGGAATGTCATACTCTTGGCAGAGTGTGTTGCGTGGAATTGAACTTGTTAAGAAGGGCATGACCCAGCGGGTCGAGGATGGCTTAAAACTAAAGATTGGGAGTGATCCATGGATTGGAAGGGATTTCTCATGATGGCCTCTTACTCTGAGAGGGGCCAGCCTGTTGATGGAGGTAGCCGAGTTGATCGACCCAACATTAGGCAGTTGGGATGCAACTCTGGTGAAGGACCACTTCTAGGAAGAGGATGTGTCGAATTATTTTGCTCCAGCAATATCCAGCAATGTGATCACGTAGACGAAATCAGGTGGTAGCATACGAGAGACATAGATTTATACTAGTTTAGGGCGTGGTGCGTGCTAAACCCTACTCTAGTGGTGTGGCTGCTCTTGTATTCATATGCTCAATTACAGGGGCTGTTGCTTCTAGCTACATAGTAGATTGGAATGGTGGAAGATGGATTGATCCTAAGCCCAAGGTCCCTACCCTACCTTATATAGGTAGGAGAGGTAGGGTTATAATGAGGGCGATCGGGCTAACTGATTGGTTTCCTAGTTTGTTACATAATAT